TTTTTTCATTTTTGGTTGAACCTGTTCCTTCTTCCTGTTCCTTTGTTCAGCCCTTTCTTTCTTCCACTCAATTTCCCATTGAGGGCAGTTCTTGATCATGTGATCAGTCTTACCACACTTGTAGCAACCCTCATTGGTCTGTTTCTCAGGAGCTCTTGACTTGTTGAAGGTTGTACCTCTTGAAGAACCATTTCCTCTCATCAGGTACTTTTTGAATTCTCTAGTGATCATAGCCATCTCATCATCTTCCAGATCTGAACCTTCATCAATTCTGAGAGCTAGCTTCTCTCCTTCTTGGGTGTATCCATCTTCATGGTTTTCCTTCTCAGTTCATAAGTAGTAAGATTTCCAATCAGTTCATCTAGTCTGACAATAGCAATATTCTTGGATTCCTGAATGGCCATGACTTTGCTTTCCCATGAGACTGGCAGAACCCTTGTCAGGATTTTCTCAACCTTGTCTTCTTCAAGAATAATCCTTCCAAGGGACTTAAGTTCATTTGTCAGTATAGTGAACCTAGTATACATCCCTTGGATAGTTTCTCCTTCCTTCATAGTAAAATTCTCATATTGAGAATACATCAGTGTTCCTCTGGATCTTTTCACTTGAGGTGTTCCTTCATGAGCCACTTGCAAAGTATCCCATATCTCCTTGGCAGTAGTACAGCTTTGGATCCTACTGTACTCATCTGGACCTAGTCCACACACAAGTCATTTCTTGGCCTTAGCATTTTTCTCCCACTTTTTTTAGGTCTTCAGCAGTGCAGTCAGCCCTTGTCTTTGGCACAACCACTCCTTCCTCATATTGTAGTTGCCAAAGGACCATCAGTGACTATGTCCTAGAGTTCATAGTTTTCTCCTATGATGTGATCCTTCATCCTGTTCTTCCACCAAGAGTAGTACTGTCCATTGAACAGTGGAGGCCATGCAGTGGATTGCCCTTCCCAGTTCCTAGGTGGTGCACTCATGTTTATCTTTTCCTAAGGTGTTAGCCTCTTCAAGGATAACCTGCTCTGATACCAATTGATGTTCTAAACGTCAATACCACACAAGAGGGGGGTAATTTGTGTGGTACCCAATTTTTCGATCTAGAAGAACCTGGTTCTTCTAGGTGTTCTAACTGCTACTGTTGCAAAATTAAAAGTACAGAAAATAAAGAACACAGAGATTTTTACGTGGAAAACACCTGGCTCAAAAGGTGAAAAACCACGACCTACTACTCAGTAGGATTTTCCAAACATCTACTAAAATTACTGAGCCAAAACAGCATTTACAAAACTCTTTGTAAACCTAAGGATTAACTCTAATCCCTGTGTAGTACACAGCCTCAACTGTTGCGACACCTTCAAGTTAGCCTATAACTTGAACACTCAAAGGACCTATTACAAATGCTTCTATGAAAGCTGAAAAGGTACAACTTTAAATCACCTGCTACAATTGAACTAGAATAAGAATAAACACAACGGAACTAGTTCTCCTATCTCGTTCAAGTAGCTTCACGTTTGCACACTTGAATTAGACAAGAACTGCTTGCAAAAAGCGTTGCTATTTTGCTCCTTATTCACGTTTAACTTCTACGTATGTGCAACATCTGTAAAAGAGAACAATCACTGTTATTTAATGAGTTAGTAATTAGAGTTTGATTGAGGCTCATCTTCCATCGAAGTTGAGTCCTTGTTCAATACAAACTCCAACCATATCATTTATCCGGATTGTGTGATTGTGTCCTCTTCCCATAAGGAGACTTTCTCTCCTCATCCAATATGCAACCTTTTCGATCAGTTCAGGAGATATTGCTGCTTGATTACTGAGACTCATCTCCTTCACGTGTATCTCACATGTCTAGGTTGATAAATACTATGCATCACATGATGAACTTGGTCCATGACTGAGTTCATTTGTCATTCATCAAAACTTCACCTAAACTTGGGCCAACAGAATCATGTTGCGGGGTACAACAAGTAACAACAGGAAACCAGCAATTAAATGTAGAGAAATCGTAACTTAGTTATCCATAAAATCAGGAAATCAAAGACAAGTGCACGGCATCACCCTTCGTGCTTTAACACTCTCTCACCAAAACAATACACGGCATCACCCTTCGTGCTTTAACACTCTTCCTCACCCAAGCATCAATCACAAATCAAATAGGGTAAGGGAATCTATAACATCAAATAAAATCAAGTAACAATAGAAAATCCGTAAGTAAACGTAAAGGACAACATAACTCTATTATCAGCAAGAATCAGGAAAATCAAGGACAAGTGCACGGCATCACCCTTCGTGCTTTTACTCTCGTCCTCACCATAAGAATCAATATAAACTGCACGGCATCACCCTTCGTACTTTTACTCTCATCCTCACCAAGAATTAATATAATCGGCACGAAATTATACATCGTGCGGCACGACATCACCCTTCGTGCTTTACACTCTTTCTTACAAAATCATACACAGCATCACCCTTTGTGCTTTATCACTCTTCCTCACCCAAACAACAATCACAAGAAATAAGGGCAAGGAAATAAATGAAATTACAATAAGAATCCCGGCAAGGGAACAATAGTTCAACAGTCAAGTCCCGGCAAGGGGCAACATCAAAAGAACATCAACATCCCGGCAAGGGAGATAGAATTAAAAGCAACAATATCCCAGCAAGGGAGGCAACATAATGATTCTCTTCTCTTCCTCACTTTTACTTCACAACTCACTTCACACTTGAGCCAATGCTCTAAAAGGGTCAATTACCACTTATACTTTCACATTTCATTATACAACTTGAGCCAACGCTCTTCAATGTTCAAATGTAACAAACTTTGCCCAACAATAGAAATCATCATCAAAGCATGAATAATACAACGAAGTCATAATAATCACAATATAAGACTCACGGGCATGCTTGACACCAACGTATAGATACTCGTCACCATGCCTATACGTCGTACTCAACAAATACCACATAGCAAATAGGTCTCGATTCCTAATCCCTCAAGCTAAGGTTAGACCAAACACTTACCTCAATGCCACGAACACAATTCAAGCCTCAACTATCGCTTTACCTCTTGATTCCACCACCAACTCGCTCGTATCTAGCCACAAGTTACTTAATTACATCAATAAACGCCAAATGAATCAATTCTAATGCATGGAAATAAGTTTTCCAAAATTTTACCCAAAAAGTCGAAAATCGCCCCCGGACCCACATGGTCAAAACCCGAGGTTCGAACCAAAACCCGATTACCCATTCCCCACGAACCCAAATATATAATTTGTTTTGAAATCGGACCTTAAATCGAGGTCTAAATCCCCAATTATTTTTGAAAAATCTAGGTTCTACCCAAAACACCCAATTTTTCCCCATGAAAATAATTGATTTTGAGTTGAAATCGTGTGAAAAGATGTTAAAATTTGAAGAAAACTAGTTAGAAATCACTTACAATCGATTAGGAAGAGAAGTTGCCTTTGAAAAATCGCCCTAGAGAGTTTATGTTTTGAGAAGATGTGAAAAATGGTTGAAAAAACGTCTAAGTTATGAACTTACAGGTTGCAGGTATCGCAATTGCTGCGAACCCAAGCTCTGCTAAGCTCACATTTGCAGGGAAACTTTCGCATTTGCGAAGTCGGAATTGCGAAAATACAGTCGCATTTGCGATAACAGGCCCAAATGGGGAGAATCGCATTTGCGAAGGGAAATCTCGCATTTGCGAGGAAGGGCTGGCCTGGGCTGTTTCGCATTTGCGACTCAGCCCTCGCATTTGCGAGCCAGGCTTCGCAAATGCGAAGCCTGCAGGCCTGCAATGTTTCAAGTCTAAAATCCACCCCGTGACCTATCCAAAACTCACCCGAGCCCTCGGGGTTCCAAACCAAACATGCACACCAATCTAAAAACATCATACGAACTTGCTCGTGCATTTAAATCACCAAAATAACATCAACAACTATGAATTTAGCATCAAAATCATGAAATTTCTTAAGAACTTCAAATTTTCCATTTTTTCTCAAATACGGTCCGATTCACGTCATTTCAAGTCTGTTTCTTACCACATTTCACAGACTCATCTTAAATCACATATAAAACCTGTGCCGGGCTCCGGAACCAAAATACGGGTCCGATACTTTCAAGGTTTAAACACATTTCACTTTCAAAAACTCATAAATATTCCAAAAAATAATTTTCTTTAAAAATTCATTTCTCGGGCTTGGGACCTCGGAATTTGATTTCGGACATACGCCCAAGTCCCATATTTTCTTACGGACCCTCCGGGACCGTCAAATAACGAGTCCCGGTCTGTTTACCCAAAATGTTGACCGAAGTCAACTTAAATTCATTTTAAAGTCAAAATTCATCATTTCTCACAGATTTTCACATAATGGCTTTCCGACTACGCACCCGGACTGCGCACGCAAATCGAAGTGAGACAGAAAGAGGTTTTAAGGCCTCGAAACACGGAATTTGTTCTTAAAATAAGTGATGACCTTTTGGGTCATCACAGAGAGAGAGAGAGAGAGAGAGAGAGAGAGAGAGAGAGAGAGAGAGAAGAAAAATTTTGTTGGGATTTTGAGAGAGAATCGTGTGTTAATTGAAAGAACAAGAGGGAAAAAACATAAATAATATATTTCACGCCTCAATGGTAATATATACCATAAATACTTATTTTGCTATAAAATAAAAAGGTAGCTATAAAAAATAATATTTTAAAATAATTTTAATTTTTAATAAATAGAATGCATACCTTTGCTAGAAGGTAAAATTTCCTACGCTATATCACTTGAATATATCTTCTCCATATTTGTGACTCTTATTTGCCAAAAGGTCCTGGTAAGTAGAGTCAATAAATTCCTCCCTTAGAAAAATAATTAAAAAGGAAATTCTTTTTTATCATTTGATGAACACTTAAATTATTTTTAATTAAAAAATCAAAACTATGAAACTGCCAAGTTTAGAGCTAATTAGAGCTAAAAATAGTTCAAATGTAACCCAATGCAAATGGTGCCCAAGGTATTATTACTTGTGCTCTTTCTTTGTTTTTATTGCGAGGAATATGCTTAATTCCTTTTTTTTCCACAAGACAGTTTTGCCCCTTGCTTGAGCAGTGGGGTTGAGTTGTACTATACTATGCTTCTCTTTGTGTATTCTTTTCTTTGATTCCTTGACACCCTTTTCAGTTTTCCCTGTTCTTTACCAGATTCCCCTAAATTCCTCCAATTTCAATATTAGAATTGTATTTTTTTTCCCTTTTGATCATAAGGTTCTTGTTTTGTTCTTTTGTTTTCTCAATTTACAGAAGGGAGGAAGAACACTAAGGTAAGAATTTTCTTGATTTCTGCTCTTGCGTCCCACAAGAAAGATTCTGAACCTTTATTTGTTGTAATTTTTTGTTTCTTGTATTAGTTGAGTGTAATTTCAATTGGGGTCTGAATAATTTTTGTGAAAGACTCTGTGTAGCTTCTTAATTTCTTTATTTAGTAGTATGAGCTGTTATTTTGTGTTCTTGAATTAGAAGTGGTTGTAATTTCATGCAAAGATTGAATCTTTTGGGGGTGTTTTTGTGTTGTGGCAATTATAGGATTTGGTAATTGTATATTACTGTTGAGGGGAATGACAAGTTTTGATGTTTCAAAGTATGCACATAGCCCTATGCATAAAGCTACAATCTTGAAAGATTATGCCTCTCTTAGGAAGATAATTTTAGGCCTCCCTAGGCTTTGTGATACAGCTGAAATTCATACTGAATCAGTATCCTTAGCTGAGGAAGCTAAGGCTGATGCCATTTCGGCTGTAATTGATCGACGAGATGTCCCCAATCGCGATACGCCTCTTCATTTAGCTGTCAAACTAGGGGACGAGACTGCAACCGAGATGCTTATGCTTGCCGGTGCAGATTGGAGCTTGCAAAATGAGCAAGGCTGGAGTGCCCTACAGGAAGCTATATGTAATAGAGAAGAAGATGTTGCGAAGATTATAGTTAAGAATTACCAGCCTTTGGCTTGGGCGAAATGGTGTAGACGGTTACCTCGGTTGATTGGAACAATGAGGAGAATGAGGGATTTTTATATGGAGATTACTTTCAATTTTGAGAGCACTGTTATCCCTTTCATTTCTAGGATTGCGCCTTCCGATACATATAAAATTTGGAAAAGGGGTGCAAATTTAAGGGCGGATATGACTTTGGCTGGATTTGATGGTTTTCGTATTCAGCGATCTGATCAGAGTATTCTCTTCCTTGGTGATGGTTCTGAGGATGGTAAAGTTAATCCCGGTTCGCTTTGTGTGGTTTCGCATAAAGAAAAGGAAATTATGAATGCTTTAGATGGTGCTGGCACTCCAGCAACAGAGGCTGAAGTGCAACAAGAAGTCGCTGCAATGTCTCAAACGAGCATATTCAGGCCCGGGATTGATGTGACTCAAGCTGTTTTGTCACCACAAACGACATGGAGGCGCCACGAGAAGATGGAGATGGTCGGTCCATGGAACGCTACAGTATATGATATGCAAAATGTGGTCGTGAGCGTTAGATCAAGGAGGGTGCCAGGTGCTATGACAGATGATGAAATGATTAATTCATGCAATGGAAATGAGGCGGAAAGTAAAGATCTTGATGATATTCTGACAGAGGAAGAAAGAAGACAACTTGATGTTGCTCTCAATGAGAACGGAGATGGCGTTATTGCACACGGGCACAGTTGTCATGAACAAATAGACAGAGACATTCCTATTGAGGAGATAAATGGTTGTAGTAATGGTGAGAAGTATTCTGTTGATGTTAGCAGGAAGAGGGATGAGTATAAACGAGGAAGAGATGCCGAAGCTTCTTCATCTAGTAATGCTGAAAGTGGAGATCTTCGCAAAGATGGAAACCGAGAAAAAGAGTATAAGAAAGGATTGAGGCCTATTCTCTGGCTTTCTCCTGATTTTCCATTGAGAACTGAAGAACTCCTTCCCTTGCTTGACATTTTAGCAAATAAAGTTAAGGCTATCCGGCGATTGAGAGAAATGCTTACAACAAAATTTCCGAAAGGAACCTTCCCCGTTAAGGTATGTGTTGCATATTGGCTCTTGAAGTTTAACTCCTTCTCTTAATTGGATACTCATTACATTTGATTGGTTATATTTATGACATACTTACTCCTTTCTTGCCTACCCTAAAAAAAGAAAAAAAGAAAAAACCCCAAAGCTTAACACTAGAATATTTGTCTTCTCTTTTATGCTTATTCAGTTTCACATCTGTGGGTCAACTAGGGTTGGGCCAGCTACTGATAGAGAATTTTCTGGTGGTTATAATAGTATTTATCTATGGGCTGAAGGTAAATTTTGAATTCTTTTGTCATCGGAAAAGGTTGTCAACTTGATTTTGAGACCAGATACAACTTCGAATATCAAGAAAATAGTTCTCAAATATAGCATCAGTTCTTCCTCATCACACATAATGAGTGTATTATCAGCTGCATATAGAAGGTGTTAGAGGTTCATTCCCCCACCCTCTTCTCCCTACTGCGAAGCCGTTAATTCAATTGTTTTTTTACTGCTTTGTCCAACCTTTTACTGTGAACGTGACAAGAATGAACAGAAAGAGGGAGAAGAATTGCTTTTAACCCTCTTTCGGAAACAGCCTCTCTGCCCTTCCAGGGGTAGGGGTAAGGCTGCGTACATCTTACCCTCCCCAGACCCCACTTGTGGGAAACTACTGTGTTTGTTGTTGTTGTTGTTGTTGTTGCCTCTTTGAGATTGGAAAATCCTGCTGGTTTGACATTTATTAGCACTGGAATCTAATCATTGTGAATTCTTTTAGTATGTCGATAAGGAAACTCAGTTCCCATGATCATATGCTCTTTCCATTTCCAACTTTACCAATATAGCAGCTGTTTTCTTGTCTCTTCCTTGAGTCAAGAACTCATTAATAATCGGTACAGCGTCTGTCATTTGTGTCCCTTTAGTAAAAGCTAATTGATTGTTTGTAACTAACTTGATGACCACTGTTTTCATCCTTTCTGTTTATACTTTGGCAATTATATTGTGAACACTCCCAATCAAACTAATGGATTTGAAATTCTTTAGCTCTTTTGCCCCATTCTTTTGGAGGATCACTGCTGTATAAGATGCAGTGGTATTTGCTAGTGTAATCAACTATGTTTTGATCGGTGTAGCGTTATATTGGAAAATACTTGCTTCAGGAATTCTTCATCTTTGAAGCACTTGAAGAATATCGAGTGAAATCGTCGAAGACTTTCTTCAGGAATTCTTAATCTCTGAAATACATGTGATGTCAATTTTATTCCCTTTGCTTCCCCTCTTACTCCACACTTTCATCCGTTTCCTTTTGAAATCGTTCGTCATGAATTGGTGATTTCTCAGTATAAATTATTCTAAAATATAGTTGGATATGGGAACACTCATATAGCGCACAAAGGGATCCCTTATCTTTTGTTTTTAATACCTTTATATCAAGTAGTCCTCTGCTGAGAAGCCTTGTTATTTCAGGTGGCAATTCCGGTGGTTCCAACAATTAGAGTTTTGGTTACTTTCACTAAGTTTGAAGAATTACAGCCGCTGGACGAGTTCTCAACTCCTCCTTCAAGTCCTACTCCTTCAGGCAAGGAGAGTCCACCCAAGGTGCAGCCGTCAAGTTCATCTTGGTTTCAGTGGATAAAAGCCCCATATCAACGGCCTAGTTCTTCTACAAGCAGCTCGAATAGTATCACAAACGACGTCCAAGATCCATTTGCGATCCCTCAAGATTACACATGGATCACTGCAGAAGCTAAGAAAAAGAAAATGCAGGAAAAGGAGAAGGCAAAGAAAGGGAAGAGCAGGAAACAGTAGTCGAAGAAGAAGTCGGCTAGCTAAGAGGAATTTTTTTCTTAATGCAGATCATGGACTACCAAAGGAGATGGATACTTTCCTGATTGACTGACCTTAAGAGGAATTTTTTTCTTAATGCAGATCATGGACTACCAAAGGAGATGGATACTTTCCTGATTGACTGACCTTAAGAGGAATTTTTTTCTTAATGCAGATCATGGACTACCAAAGGAGATGGATACTTTCCTGATTGACTGATCTTATTGGGGGGCTATGTTTATAATATCTTTGCAATTTAGTAAATCATTGTGGGGTATAAGGTAGGGGTAAGGTCTGCGCACAACTACCTCCGCGGAAGCGCAGACCCCAACTGTGGGGTTATACTGGGTTTTTTGTTGTTGATGATGTTGTTGTTGTATTGTGGGGGGTATAAAAGCTCAAAATCAAGATTTTTTCAAATATTTGTAATTAACATGCAGCAACCGGTTTGATTTCCCGGTATATATATAGATGATTTATTCTGCCACTTGACTTTGACATAGTAATACTTGTGTTGATGAGACAACTCTGTTAATACAGCTATGGTAAATTCTGCATAGATCCTTGCGTTGACCCTTTCCTGAACCAGAATCTGCTCTCAAAGCAATAGCAGAAAAAATGTATGTTTTTTGTATATATACATTATGTATGTTATATACAAAAAAATATACAAATTTATATACTTTTTGGCTACCGAATGTAAATAGTTTCCGATGCAGGATAAAAGTGATAATACCCCTTTTATATTTCTGAAATAGGAATATCATGGTTGGCAAAATTCATTTCCTATAGTGCTATTTTCTGTAAAATAATACTAATTTTTACAACTATTGGAAGAGAGTGTAGGACTGATTTCTGTTTGGGTCATGCAGTTTTTTTTTATGTTAATTAGTAAAGTTTCTCTTTTGGTTTGTTGGCTTCTTTTGGTTAAGTTGATGAGCCATTTGTTGCCTCTTAATTTCACATGATTCATTGCTTATGTCGCTATGTATTTATATTGTCATTATTTAGTGTACATAGTTTATATACTCGAAATTGTTCTCTGCTTAAGTCATTCATTTATTAATACTTTGTAAGAAATTGAAAGACAAACTTGGTTGAGGAAAAACTTCTGTGTTTTCATTTCTTGCTCTTGTACATGTTTATACTATACACTTACATATATATTTATTCCCCCATACTAACACACTAACTTTTGTTTCCTAATATTATAATCTTCTTACTAACCGCCATTAATTTATGTCTCCCATGCCCACTAATTGATGTTCCTTAACCCATTAATTTTGCCCCACATTATCTAATGACTTAACATGCACGACCAATTCACCCTTCTTCTTCTTCACCCATCTTCTTTAAGTGAATCTCCATGACTGTTAGAATTAGGACCTGGTTTCTTCTTCCCAACATCCCTCCTCAAGTTGGAGGGTAACTTTGTGACCCCTAACTTGCTCAAAATCTTGGAGTGAGAAACCCCAGAAAGTGGTTTTGTGAAGAGAACCTCCAATTCGTCTTTAGACGGAATAAAAGAAAGGGTAATTAAACTGGAAAGGAACTGTTGACGCACAAAATGACAGCCAAGCTCTACATGTTTTGTGCGTTCGTGGAAGACGGGATTATGGGCGGTATGAATGGCTGCCTTGCTGTCAGAATGAAGAGGTATGGGAAGACTTATTGGTGCAGAGAGATCTTCAAGGAGTCGAACTAACCATGTAAGTTCTGCAGTTACTCTTCTCATAGATATGTATTCTGCCTCTGCAGAAGATAAAGAGATTAAAACTTGTTTTTTTGATTTCCAGGAAATGGGTGCTCCTCCTAGTGTGATGAAGAATCCACTTACGGACCTCCTAGAATCCTTGCAAGAGGCCCAGTCAGCATCGCAAAATGCAAGCAAGGAGAATGAGTGTTCTGCTGAGAGAAGAATTCCTTGTCCTGGATCGTAGCTCAATTATTTGAGCACTCTTAAGGCAGCAGAGAAATGAGACTTGCATGATCTCTGCATGTATTGACTGAGGGTAAGGACTGCAAAAGAAAGGTCTGGGCACGTGTTAGTGAGATAGTTCAACTTCCCAATCAGATGACGAAATACTGTTGGATTTTGCAAATGGGTCGTTGTTGTTGTTGTTGTTGTTGTTTTTGCAAATGGTGCCCATCATCAGCTTGAAGCTTGGAGGAAGGATCAAGAGGAGAACTAACTCGGGGCAAATGAGATACATCGAATTCCTGTAGCATATCCAAAGTAAATCTCATTTGGCTTACAATAAAACCTTCCTTTTCTCGCAGAATTTCCATCCCTAAAAAATAATGTATGTCGCCTAGATTTTTGATCTTGAATTCACTGTTTAGAAAACTCTTAATATGCTGAATTTCTTCCAAGTCATCTCCAGTAAGCAGTATGTCACCTACATAGACAGCTAGAATTGAAATCAAGTTTCGTGTCCGTTTTAAAAAATAATGAGTAATCGTTTAATGATGAAGAATACCCCTTAAAACTCAAAGCTCCTGCAAGCCTAGCACACTATTGCATGGAAGCTTGCTTTAAACCTGTCACGACCTATTTTCTGAACAAGCCGGGACCGGCACTCGATCACTAAACATGATCGAGCGAACCATCTTTGCTTATCAAATCTATTATAACTCCAAAATTTATATGCAACAAGGCAATACTCCAACCAAATACTTTTGATTAATGTAAATATTTAAATAAATTAACTCCAAAACTTTATTCGTAATAACTACTAAATTTATGCTAAGTTATTATAAAAAAACATCTGAATCTTAACCCATTGATTATGTCTATGAAGCCTCTACTGATAAATCGACGCACTGCTCAGGACATGAGATTTCCTAGCCAGTTCTCTAAGTAACAAAGAAATAACTAAATAAAGATGACTCTAAGGAATACTGTAAGCACGTGATTTTTGCCCTATATGAGAATTACTCCCAAAAAATTCAAAAATAAAATAATTTTCTTGGTGTGCAATTTTTGTGATATTTTGTGTAGCTATTTGTGTTTGTCTGTGCATGTTTATTTGCTAAATTAATAAAAAATATACAAAAATATGTAGCGTTTCGCATGTAGGATTTAATTATACAATTGTTAGTAACTAAGTTTGTTTTACAAAAAATAAAAATTACAAAAATAGGCATCGTTTGCATTTTTAGCATTTAATGTCCAAATATACAATTTTATGCTTAATTATTACTTAATTGTGCGTTAATTGTTATTGGGAGTTAATTTGCGCTTTTATAACTTAATTTAGTTCTTAAATAATAGTTTAAGTATTTTTATAATTTAGTTTTAGAAAAAGAAAAGAAANTGATATTTTGTGTAACTATTTGTATTTGTCTGTGCATGTTTATTTGCTAAATTAATAAAAAATATACAAAAATATAGCATTTTGCATGTAGGATTTAATTCTACAATTGTTAGTAATTAAATTTGTTTTACAAAAATTAAAAATTACAAAAATAGGCATCGTTTGCATTTTTAGCATTTAATGTCCAAATATACAATTTTATGCTTAATTATTACTTAATTGTGCGTTAATTGTTATTGGGAGTTAATTTGCGCTTTTATAACTTAATTTAGTTCTTAAATAATAATTTAAGTATTTTTATAATTTAATTTTAGAAAAATAAAGGAAGAAAAGAGAGCAAAAAATAAAGAAATTCGGAATTGGGCCTCTTCTTCAAATTCAAGCTACAAGCCCAAAAAATGACCCAATCTTCCCAAACGACCCAATCCATTTCGAACTGGGTCGACCCAGTCCAGTACCAACAACCCAACTCCCCCTCTTCATTTTCATTTTTCATTTTTCATTTTTTACAAAATAAAAATAAAAATAAAATTAAGAAAACCCTAAAAAACTAAGAAAGGATCCCCCCCCCCCCATTTTTGGTTTCTTCTTCCCCAAAGCTCCAAACCCCACCTCCCATGGCAGCCTTTCAACCTCTTCACGCCCAGAACAAGCTCCAACACCATCGTCGTTGCCTCGTCGAGCTCGAGCATGAGCTTGCATGGTCGTTGGTCGCCATGTCTTTATCTTCTTCGTCGAAGGCAACACCTCACCACCATGAACGACCAGCCATGGCTGACCCTACTGCTTCTTCTTCCTCACTTCAATACAAATGTCATTGCGTCATTTCCTCCTCCAAAAAACAGGAAGTCGCCATGGCTGCTGTCGCGACTACGTCTTCCAGCTCCGTCGCCGCTGCTTCGTCACGGCCAAGCTGAACCACTGCTGCCGCTACTGTTCCCATCGCTGCCATGGCAGTTTTATCGCAGGCTACTGTTGCGTCGATCCCAACCTCAAGCCCCGAGCTGCCTCGCCAACGACCAGCTGCTGCCCGCGTCCGCCATGGACGCAGCTGTTTCAGCTCCCAGCTGCTACTGCTTCATGCTGCTTCTTCTTCCTCCGTCGTGCTGCTGCCGGGGCATCTACGTCAGGCTGCTTCTCGACGGACTGCTGCTGCTGCTCGTCGCAGCAGTTGCTTCTGTTTTGTCGTTGCTTCATCTTCTTCGAATCGTCAAAGTTCGAAGGTTTTTCGTTGAGTCGAGGCCCGTACAGATTTGTTTACAATCGTTGTTCGTCGTTTCATTT